GTATATTCCTATTCATAACTTAAGAATAGATAAACATCACATCGACATACCTAGTTTCTTGACAAGTTTTTTGTTCTTGTTCAACTTCTTCAAGGCTTCAGCATCCATGAATGGAACATTATTAGCTTTGGCTTCATCGCAATGCTGTTGATCACCAAGGATGCATACTTGCATCTTGGGGCGAGGAATGTGCTTCAGTCTGTAAAATACACGTTGCTCATTATTACATTCAATCTTTCACTTGCGCATAACTAGAATAATTAAATAATTATAATAAAAAAGCTCTCAGTATAATAAAATCTCATCAATTATGATCAGGTAATACATGCAAAGTATGTACCATCATAGAGCCGTTGAAATAGAAAAAAAAGGTAGGATTTTAACATACATGTGAAGCCAAAATATTTTCAAATGTTTATCGGAGCGATACTAAGTCAACTTACCAGCACAAAATGTGCTTGTACTTGAGGACCTGTATGAATGTAAAAAAAGTGTTCGGTACAATACCTCCCCAATATTTAAGACCCTGGGTGAGGGTCCGCCAAGCAAAAGCTCAGCTCCCTGACATGCAAAGCAGCTCTTTAAGGGCTATACCTTATAGGTTAAATGTGTAGTTAACACGTGTTTCGTACAAAAACCAAAAAGAGCACTTTGAAGCAGGTAAAACTCACTTCACAGTGCCAGAGAAACGTTTGTCCTTCTGTGGGTCGTAGTTTTTCAAACCGATTTGAATCTCGACTGTTTCGACGAAGTTCCTCTTCTTTTCTTTGGAGTTTTCGAGTACTGCATTAACAGCATCGTAAAACATCTCACGAGAAATTTTCGAACTGAAAAATAACGAGGTAAATTTAACGTAGTAATTTGATGCTCCAGAAAACTATACACATCATTTAAACAACCGGTTAATTATCACATATTGATGCGTTACACTATGAAAAAGAAAATTACTGTAGAAATTTGCGAAAACAAATAAGTAAATGAAAGATAAAAAATATTACTGATTTCAAGATAACAAAATCTCTGCGAATACATTTCAAAAATAACCAAGATTTTCACAATTAAGATTATAATGATAAATATGGATTAGTTGTAAATACTCACGTCATGGTTGCAGAGTTACCGAAGCGTCTGCTTTCGACGACGACTGAAAAGGAAAAGACCTCCTTCGCTGGCGAAAGCAGACGGTAAAGTGCAGACACTCACGGGGCTCGACTGCTCCTCGAGGCGGCTCGAGCGGCTCGACTTTTTCGGAAGACGAGGACGCATATACGACTCTATCGGTATGGAGATTTCAAACATTAAACATTTTTGAAATTGAATCAGCAAAAGTGAAATGCGAGAAAAGATTGAAGAAACAGAAGTAAAACATATCATTAAAATGACTTAGAATTTATACGCAAGATATGTTTATTTTCATCTTGAGGTTTAAATCGTTTTAAATAAGCTCTATTGTTTTTTTTCAAGACAGCAAATAATGTAGCGATTTTTTTCGTGATTTTTTTTTTTTTAACTTTAACTAAACAATACAGTAACATCACATTTTTTTTATGCAATACGCATTTTTAACAAAAATTAAATATCCTTAACATAATCTCATTTGTTATAATATTTAACAAAAAATAGTACGTTCAATTTTTGTAAGTTCACATAATATAAAGGATTTAGATTTAGTTTACATTTCTAAACCTCCCGAATGCCGGTAAAGAAGGACATTGAATTACCAGTTGTTGACAACAGTTGGTACAACAGGGGGTTTACTTTTTTACAAAATTCCGCTAGATGGCGCTGAAAAATGCTTTCTTATGAGTCGATACGCCGAATGTTAATATTTTCGCTTTTTTCGGTAGAGTAGAGTAAATCGAAAATGTAATGCATATTTCTATATAGGTATAGATTGTTGTATATATTTTGTACACGCATGTATGCATGTTTGAGCTGGGCACAAACAGTCCGCGCGTTCGTAGACTCCGAAAAGACTACTAGACTTAGTATTTTGCAAATAATTAATTCTCACGAGATCAACTGGTTAAAAGTAAGCTCCTCAAGTTCTCCAAGTAGCGAGTGACACAAAACCGGAAGAAAAATGTCGATAGGGGTGCCAATCAAGGTGTTGCACGAAGCCGAGGGCCACATCATAACCTGCGAGACGAATACCGGTGAGGTCTACCGGGGCAAGCTCATCGAGGCCGAGGACAACATGAACTGTCAGATGCAAAATATTACCGTCACCTATAGGGATGGCCGAGTCGCCCAGCTTGAAAATGTTTACATTCGTGGCTCAAAAATCAGGTTTCTCATACTGCCTGACATGTTGAAAAATGCACCAATGTTCAAGAGGCCTGGTGGAAAGGGCTCTGGTACTGCTGGCAGAGGAAAGTCTGCAATTCTTAGAGCACAAGGTATTGCTGGTTTTGTCAATTATTTGTTACTCATGATTACACTTGATAAGCTCTAATAAATCGTATGTTTTGTGCAGCCAGAGGCAGAGGTAGAGGGACAAATCAGCGAGGTAGAGGTACTGGCTCAGCTCCGTGGCTTAATCAGCAGAATCAAACGTCAAATGCACCACAGACTGGCAGGGGAAGGGGCTAAACTTTACAAAATTTTTCATCGTTTGATAATCAAACAAGCAAAAATAACTGATCACTCGAGTGATTTTTATATTGTATTCATTTTTTAAACTCCACAATCACTTAATTCCCTTAATTATTTAATTGTGTATGAGTGAGTCTTGTGCAGGTAATATTAAATAATAAAAACAGTAATTTTATATGATAAAACTATGTTGTTGATTTATATCTGTAAAAGTAATCCAATGAGTTTTTTATTTAACTATCATGAAAGTCAGGAATTCGTCAATTTTTTTATTCCATCATATTCTCAAAATTTTACTTGTCATTGTTTAAAATAGATTTGATGAATTAGCAGTCAAATTAGATACATGAGCTGTATATATTTTATTGACATGTTGTAACCAGTTTTTGTTGCTTAGTTTTATATTTTTTACCCCAGCTTACCATTCTCTATGTGTCACGTATACCTAATTTACCATTATTAAATAACTTTTACTTACATCATCTTATTATTGTTTAAACCGTTCATGAACAAAGTAATAAATTACGAATCCTATATTATGATAATAAGTATATGAAGCGGCGGTTTGGTAGCGGCTGTGATGGATATATCTATATATATATATATATATATATATATATATATATATGTATATATTTATATGTGCGTGCGTGTGTGTGTGTGTATGTGTGTGTGTGTGTAACCAACGAGAAATGTATTAGTAAATAGATACTTTTTTACCTAAGACTATAGATAATGATTTAATTTTGAAAAAGATCTGCAGTGACCAGCATTTAAACCTTCATTCTTTGGCATTCATACATTCAGATAAGGCTAAACCATGCTAGACCATGGTGCAGTACATCTGCTTTAGTATCGATGGTAAAGTACATGTGGGAACGTGCACTGTTTATGATACACACACTTATGTTGAAAATCAAAGGAGTTCCTGTAAACCATGGTGTCGATCACAGATAATTAGTTGATTTAAAATTATTTGTCTGGTATTAATTTTTAACTCTTATAAATAAAAAAATATGTTTCTCGTAATAATTACATTAGTATAACCTCAAATTTATTTGAGATTCCATAGGGGTGTATACCTAATGGTGATCTACCATCTCACACAATCGAGGAAAACGTCGTATAAAATTACTTTCGAACATAGTAATTTTTACTGTAGTGAATAGCAATGCAGTAATATGTGAAATTTTACTATGTCATACAGCAAGTTCCACTTGTGAGTGTAAGGTATTTTGAAACAATTACAATAAAATTTACTATGTTGAATAGCAAAAGTTCTAGTATCACAAGTTTTACTATTTTAAACAGAGCCATTGTTATTATGACGTGTAATAGTTTTTGTAGGGTTAAAATATAATAATTGTCTAAAATATAATGAAAGTTGTTTTAAACGTCATAATTTGCGTCATCAGATAAGTATTTCTCAGCTTTCCTAATTAATATCGTAATGTTTAGTATTGTTATTATACTTTTTCTAACACCACTTTTCTCAATGCAATAAGTTGACATCCAACTATTTTTTGATAACTATTTCATGATATCAATCATGAATATAAACTTATTTCGGTAGTATTACCTTATTTCGGTAGTATGTTCTCTGTCAAAAGCTGTACATCTCACAGTTCTTAAAACATACTTCTATATGTATGTATAAGTGTGATTTATTTCATTATGCAACTTTACAAGTGATCCAATACAACATGTGTTAAATGCACGACCTCAAAACTGTCACTTACCAAAACTGTGATCGTCAACCTAACATTTTTGGATAAAAGTTTACACGATAATCCTCTACAATTTCAGCTTTATTTGCACATCGAGAAATTTTTGTATGCAGTCCACTTCAGCCACCTTAAATTTTTATAAAATTCTGTACCTTACATAATTAAAGGTTAAGGGCTTATAAATAGCAATATTTTCAATCTTTTCATGTCTAAATGAGTTTTGTGATGATTCCGCAGTATGATTCACTAATTTTAATTAGGTTTTTTACATTTCATCACATGTGGCACTTAACGTATGGTATATACTATATCATAAAATAACATGAGATTTTTAAAAATCTTTATTAGGAATTAAGTATATTTACATAAAAATATTTTATTTTTAGCATTTTATTATTCAATGACTTTTTTATATTTTGCGTTACACTAGACATGAAATACTACAACAAAATAGGTTCAACCTTTTTATTTGATTCAACGAACAAAAACTTAAACTAACCATATTGTATATGCAAAATACAATAAATACATCAAGCTCTTTTTCCTGTGGCCCTTGCCTTTTGTTCTTAGCCAATTCTTTTAAGAGTTTATAAATACTTTCATCATTTTCTTCTTAATACAATGCATACTTAACAAAATTTCTTATTTTCTATTAGTTTTTATCAGTTGGCCTAAGTTACTGGATAATCTGAAAAAGTATTTTTAGAACGACTTCTTTTCATCGTAAATTTACTCTTTCTTAAAGTGTTTTAGCTATTTTTTTATCTTATAAGTCGTCATGTTTTTACTTACAATATCTACTAAAACTTTGCTAATCAGTCAAGAATCATGAGTTAAAAATTTAGGTATTAATTGTTGCTTTAATTATAGCTATAAAGACCTACATTTTTAGCTATAATCAACTACAATGTACCTATAAATGAAGCTTATTGTTAGCTGTAAAATGTGTTTATAGCTATAAATTTTGCGCAAATTTAAAAGAAACAATGTTTCTTAATCTGATTTTTTAAAAGTTATATCAGCTATGAAAGGTGTTATTATGTGGATGATAACTTAAAAACTGGGGGATTATAGAATTTTCGGACAATATTTTAGAAAGTTTATATTAATAAGCAAATGTTTTCCTATATTTTTTTTTGTTTAAAAGTACTTAAAGTCCTCAGTTTTAGTGTGATCATATGGATAATAACTTCACTAGTGGCTATCATATTTGCAAAAAATCAAATTTAGAAATATTTTTTCTTTTAAATTCGCGCAAAATTTATAGCTATAAGAACCTACATTTTATAGCTAATAATAAGCTACAATCGTAGGGACATTGTAGTTGATTTTAGCTATAAATGTCGGTCTTTATAGCTATAATTAAAGCTACAATTAATAGCTAAATTTTTAGCTAATAATTTTTAACTGAGTAAATTTCGGACAGTTTTAAAATTCATTCAGGCTTTATCTTTCGAAGAAGTCATGTGGTCACGAGACGTTATTTGGGGAGTATCAAGGCGGTTTATGCGTGACTCCCGAGTCAAATGTGCAACTGAAAAGATGATTTCTATTGAAGCTGTTAGTATTCATAAATATGTAATTAAATATTCTTTATTGAATGAAATAAAGCATCCATGTCACATTATAGATCACAATATCCAATATTAAGGTTTCTAAAAACTATTTTATGAAATTCCGATTAACCTTAAAAAATTAGCAGTCCACTCTCGCCTATGCTTTTACATAGTAAATTGCAATGCATGATTGCGTTTCAATCGATATCTTTTAATTTTGTCCTATTAGGTAAAATTTTCAACGAACCATTACGAATAGGATGACTTCTAGTTTATTACTCTAGTTTCTTATCATTCAGGCCCAGTTCTACGAAAAGTAATCACATGACATACGGTGACAAAATTGTGTACGCCCATAAGAGCCCGTCTTATCTCAGTGCTCAACGACGATTTTTAAACGTCTCGTTCTCGTGATTTTATGCTACACGGAAAATTGTTGTTACCAGAAAAACAGGTTCTATATGTTAGTACAAGTATTTTCGATACTCTGTACAAGAAAAATGTGTACTGGTACAGGTATATTTGGTACGGTAGTATACTTAAAAGTACCTTAGTGAGTATAGATAAACCTTATACTTAGTACGTCAAAATCCGATACGTGGTACGGGTTTTTCCTGTACCAGTACAGAAAGTTAGTCGGCCAGTGGGAGCATTCAGAATGTCAGTATATATATACACATACGTAGCTGTATACTTTTTTTTTTTTTTCGTCATCGCCCCTGATAAGGGGCTCCGACATGGCTATATTGATACTGTATAGTGTATTTAGTTATACGTTGGTTAATTTACGGTATGTGAAACGGTAGGGCAATGGGTAGGTTTAATGAAGCTCAAATTCCACCCAGAAAAAAACCTCGTTTATTAATAAATAATTTTTTTCCAGAGTGGGATTTGAACTCTGGCCATCAAGATCTGTAGACAGACACTCTACCGACAGAGCCATCATGTGGATATATAATCGCATATACTATGCGCAGTACAGTAGAAAGCCATGCGCAGTATACAAATTTAATAGACTATCCATGGTACAGAAAAATTCTGTACCAAAGCTATTGAAAAACTTGTACTAGTATAGTTATAAAACCGACTAATCACAGGTTTTTCGGTGATCCAGATGAGTATGTAAAAATGTGAGACTGGTTGCAGAAATCTCAAGACCTGTACGTTATTTTTCTATGCTTATCACTTTTGGTATAGCTTATTCTGGTAACAACAATTTTCCGTGTAGAAGACTATCTGAAATTTTGCAGAGAGGTATATAAAATATTCGTAAAGAACCTTTCCAAGTTTTACTTTGATAGTCCAGCTTTTAATTTTCGCATGAACCATCTTAAAGAGGCTCCCTCGTGACGGTTTCCGAACCAAGACCAGATGAAATTAATAGTTTAAAATGTGCTAAATCCAATTATATGATTGTTTATATCGCTTACCCTGCAAAATTTCGAGTTATTATTAATTTAATGTAGCGCTTTCTAACACGTATTATTATGGTTGAGCTCACACATGCGATGAAAACAACGTAATAACTCGAAGAAATCAACAGTTCGCGTCATAAGATGGCACACGTTTTATAGTAAAAAACCTCCTCTTTCAAACGATGCCTAGTAAAGTTAGTGTTACCCTGGAAAATTTCGAGATATACTGTTGAAAACTGATCAAGTCATTTTATTTCCACAGGTTAATCTCTGTTCCCTTACGCCAGTGATGACAACTATACCTAAGTTTTCGAGCAAATGTGAGACCCACATTGTGGGTTGGCATTTCTGCACGAGGAAGCCTTAAATGTTAAAGATGTTACGTTTTGGTCAGATGACGTCAATTTTTTGTTGTATTACAACATCGTAAGTTACCTGGATCATTTTAATTATCCATGCAAAATTACAAATTATGTTGTTTCATGATTTTTTAAAAATAAAACTGCGTGAGGTCGTCGCTATAAACATACCTCTTTATTTGTCACTTTATTTTTTATTTTTAACTTACTTAAAAGCTGGGAGAGTAAGTACTTTTAAACTGCTTCTGAAAAATTATGTTCAAAGTTTAAGAGTTTATTATTCGTTGATGTAACTGGCTTGCTAAAAATTTCAATAAATGTGTACAAAAGCAATAATAAAACCATAGTTAATACAGTGCATGTAGGTAGCCACCAGTATTTGTAAATACTTTCTATTATTACTACAGAATTTTTCTTCATCTATTGTCACCATTGTTAATTAAATAAAGAACTGCTTTGGAAATTTATATANNNATATATAGTTTTCTAGATGAATGTGTATGTATAAACCACTTATGTATGTCCTATGATAAGTCCATGTAATTCTGTAACTCATAATTGTATTTTGATGTAAAGTATAATAATGTATATTTTTAGATTTTTGTCTACAGTTTAGCAACTTAAACAATAAGCCAAATGCTAATAAGTCCTTAATTATATGATCACAGAAACACACTCTATTTATTAAAGAAATATTTCGTTAGATACCTATAACTCGAAAAATAGTTACAATTTTGTAGGCACTACCTGATCCGTTTTGAAATGTTTTTTAGATTTTTCAATAGCATTATAAGTATTTAAGAATCTGTCTCGTTTTTAAGTACAGTTCTAATTGTTAGCAATTTATTTCACGTAAATAATAATGTACATACATGTATAACATTTTGATGGTAACAATGGTTAATAAATAAAAGAGAAAAGTCACAAAGAACGAAAAATAAATATCTCATAGTTACACTTTACTTATTGCTATAGTTGACGCTTAAATTAATTAATTATGGGTGCAAGTTGATAATTTATGATTAGACCTAATTTTTAACAATTCATGCCAAACTATGCCAATGAATTATGTTTAATAAAACATTATTTAAATTTATCAATATTGCTTAAACGTTGTCCTATCACGTTTTCTTATCAGATGTTCGGTAAACTTATGAAAATTCATAAAGACTGTAATATATATTGTGAGCTTTAGCCAAGATCTAATAGTATTATCTAATAAATTAATTAAAGTTTTCACTTAACTATCGTAATAATTTTTATTATATAAGCCTTGAGAAAGTCAAGTTTTCGGTGAAATATTAACTACGAATATAATAAGTAAGATGTTGGATCGATCGTTGCATGGACGTTATCGTTGACAGCATCGGGTGGGGCAAGAGGGCGCTGTTATCGTTAAGTCTCCTTGTATGTGATCAGTTTCTTGTTGTCAAAAGTTGTGAGTCAGCTATAAGTATATTAGTAAAAGATAAACTTTTAATAAAGGAAATCCTTTTGAATAGTGATCTAAATTTTTTAGAGATTGCGAAATTAAGATAAAATAAGTAAAACTGTAGATAATACAAGGAATAGGTCCAGAATTTCATTCCTAATCGTAGTGAGGGTTCGCGTGTGTACTGTCAGTGTAAGGTGATAGAATCTTTTGTAGATAATGTGATGTATTAAAGTTATATTGTATACAATAATATAAAATACATGGACATTAATTTTTAGTACATTATATTTTTTTAATCTCACGTTAGTCAATAAATTTGTGTTACTTTCTCTATGAATTTTTTCTGTATCTGTTACTATACCTGCTATTATCCTGTATTCTGTTAAATAATCTTTTTTTGTACGAATAAGTTTCACTTTCATGTACAATTTCGTTGATAGACAGACACAGATGTAAACAAGAATAATGTTTTTTTCTCTTAAATCAACTTGTTATAATTAAAGTAGTTATATGCAATACTCAGTTACGTATGTACGTATTTGCGTATAGATTAAGAGAATGCATTTTGATATTTTCGTTGTTTTTATTTTGTACGCATGTATTCAACATAAAGACACCAATACTTTCATTATCTTCCGTTTGCTTTTTTAATGTTAGTAAAATATCTTTTTATCGTAATATTAATTTTGTGTACTTTCTATCTTGCTTGTTTGGATTTCACTTAAAAAGATTTAATAATAGTTCATTGACAGACATAGTGTATGACTTAAACTTTTAACTTTTTCAAATATCAATAAATTAAACAGAAACGAAGTAAAATGTCATAAAAGGTTATAAGCATTTGAAAAGTAGTAAATGATATAGACTTCTTGATGTTACGCTTGCAAAAATGATGAATTATTGTGTAAAAAATAATTAATAGTATTTGATCCACTTTTGAAACAAAACTTTTAAAAAATACTGTAAAACTAACAATGCTCTCTTTATTATTATTAAATCTGTTTAAATGAATTATTAGTTTATGTAATGCATGGTTGTGTATGTGATTTGACTGTTTAATATAATGTAAGTGCAACAAAAAATGAAAATGATTACGTTGGATGTTTTGAAGTCTAGAATCTTAAGATGTTTGATAAGAATTAGATTTATTTTTAAGTGAAAAAGAATATTATTATAAAAATTGGATGACGATAGGTGCTGTGTCCCTGGAATATATGTATACACATCCAATATTCTTAGAAACTTGTACTTTATACGTACATGCTCCTACGCGTGCGCGCACGTGTGCATTGACATATCACTTTAAGTTTCAATTAAGTTCTAATTAGCTCAATACAGAGTTTTTTGTGATGGATCTAGTTTTTTAAACATGTCATGAAAAAAAACTTCCATATCTTGCAGTTTATTACAAAACCTATAATAAATTCAAACTGATGCTTGCAATAATTATAGGGTTAGTTCTGTCAAACAACAAATTGTTATTGTATGACATGGCTTACGATATCTTGAAATAATATTCTTATATATTTACTGCATAAATAAATCTTTTTCGTAAATAGACAGTATTTTTTATAGCAAAAAATCTTGATACAAAGCCAAATAATGCAGTATGAAGCAAAACGGAGTTTCAATAATTTATATACATCTAAAGCACAAGTAAAGGGTAGAGGGTATGAATTAGGGGCTATGTATCAATAAACACTTTGACTCTTTTTTATCACATCTTCCCTTTCTCTAAAAGGTTCACACCTGTTTTTGAGCATTTTAGTACTAACAACAGCATTTTAAACCTAACTTTTTTAAAAAACTAGGGTTTAAAGTCGATTCTGTTTTCAAAATTTTATAAAGTATTTATTAAAGAATCTGCATACATATATATATATATAGGTAGCCACCAG